CCAATGAAGGTGTAGCAGTGGGGGTGGGGTACCTTGGTATTGGCCACATGAAGGTGATTATGAGCAACGCAGGTGTGAAACTCAGCTCCTGTGGCATCCTCTGCTTGGACGAATCCCTCCTCCCCAACCCATTCAGAAGTAACGTTGCCAGGCCTCTCATTCGCATCCACAAAAACAAGGGAGACATTCCACTTCTCCAACCACGCGCTGGTTTCACTCCAAAAATTACTGATATCCTTCCAAGTATGTCCCGAGTGCGGGGCATGGAGAACAGCATCCCTCACCCGACACGCAGGGGAATCGATCGAAACGAGGAGGCGCCGAGGGTCAGAGTGCAACGCAACAACTTCCTGCCTCTTGAAGGTGATCTCCTTTCCTTTGGAGCAAGCAAGCGGTTCTTCAATATTGACCCACAACTCACGCCCATCCCTTGACATGGCCTGAGGCGATGATGAGGAATGGCCCCGACATACGCGCCCCCTTCGGATTCCTGGACTAACCGGGTCTTAAGAATCTGCGTCCTCATCAACCTACGCTTTCCCCTGGTTCCCTTGGAGGCCCTGCAGCGCATAGACTTAGCGTTGAAATGAACCGTGCGCAGTGCGACATGCCGCTGATTAGTCTTGTATTTACCTTCCAGAGGGCAATCTCCGATCGTGGCGAGCTGGGGGCTGTCCCTGAACTCCAAGGCCCCCTCTTCTGAAGATGGCATGCCTATATTATCATGCTGGAAGGGCTCTCTGGCCCACTCCCATTCTCGACTGGGCGTGTAAGAGGCCATGCTGAGCAAATCCTGGTCGAAAATTATTCCTGCAATCTGCTGTTGCGCTGCCTGCTTGGCCACGTTGCCAGCCAAACTGTGCCAATAATGAAAGCAATGGCTCTTGGCATGGAAGATCTCCAAAGGGCCTCTGCCGATGGAAAGCGATGCGCGCGAGCCTGGCTAGATTGCCCCCCTGCTGCGGCGCTGTCTGTCCCGTGACAGTGTCGATTGTCGGCTTTGAGTCAGACCGAATCTGTACCACCTGTTGTTCGCTGCGCTCCCTATCGCACAAGATAGCAATCACTGTCCATAGCAATGCAAGCAACTTTAAATCCGTGCTATCCAGTCGCTGGCGGTTCGTCTCGATGTTGCAGCTGTGCTGCCATTCAGACGCCCAGAACCCTTGAAAGGCCGAGTCCCCTTGGGGATCCGTCGAGGCGCGTATTATCGCCCACGCCGCGACATGGTTATCTTCTCGCCTCTGCCCCTCGAAGTGCGAGCCGTCAACAGAATGCGGTATGGTGCTCCTGTTCCCTATCACCCTGGGCGGACAGAGACTTAGAGCAATTCTAGCAGGGGCTTCGACATCCTGAAGCCTCACCCTAAAAGTTCCAAGACGGGACATAAACGCGACCAGCCAGCTCCCAAAGCGTTGGCTCACGCGGCAACCTGACCATGCGCATAGCACTCCTGGAGCCGGGCCCGCCCCCCAATCGAGGCCTGTCTCGAGCGCAACTCTCGTCCAGCTCGCCACGCCCTGGAGGGGCGAGAGGGGTCGACGGTGCAACTGCGCCAATTGGGTCTGTCTTCGCCTGTAAACTTCTCTCAACATAAAGCGCCTTGTCAATCCCTTGGGCGCAGCTATCTGCCCCCTCTGTAATGGGGGCCTGGCCATAACCCGAATTGGTTGCGACAGACGATGACAGCTCTCTTTTTCCAGCTAGATGCGGCGCAGACGTCGCCGAGCGCTCGCCTCTAGTCAGAAGAGGCGAGCCAACAGAAAAGTCCTGTTGGCCAGGTGAATCAAGCTGTGCATCTGACGGCGTCGGGCTCCCGCAATCGCCTCGCTCGACCTCAGTCGCTCCAGCCGTGCGCGATGGGGGTGATCCAAGAAGGGATCTGGCGCGTGATGAAACCTCGGAGGCGCATTCATCCAAGGTCTGAGTCGCAATATTATCACGCGCTGGCATGACTCGCAACTGACTGAGTGGCCTGCGCTGAGCAGGCTGGCTGAGCGCCCTGCACTGAGCAGGCTGGGAAAAGAGTGCGTCCGTCTTTATGCTCGCGTGAAAAAGGCCCTCCCCCTTGGAGGCTCTAAAAGTAGAACTCGCTTTCAATATGGACGCTGCATTCATGTGTTTTACTTGCACTTGTCTAGGTGGATCATCATCCTCAAAGAACTCACGTATTGTGGCACCGCCAAACCTCAATGCCGTGCCGTTTTGTGAGGCGGCGCCCTGGCACTGGGACTCGGCTGCGACGGGCTCGCAAGCGCCTCGTGCGCCTGCTCGATCTTCTGAACCTGCCTGTTGGTCTCGCCCTGAGTGTCCTCTACCTCGATCACTCTCGTGACGCTGATCTGTGGCCCTAAGATGGTCTCCATGTCCTGTGACTGCCACGGCTGCGTTGGTGAGATAGGCTCGACAGGTAGTATGCCAGGTACTTCCTCGTCCATGCTCTCTATCTCCTGCTTCTCGTCGTCGTCGATTTTCATCTCCAGCAATTTGCCCTTGGCGTAGGGGTCCCTCTTGATCGGCGCGCTGGGAGACCTCCGATAAGCTCTGGGTGTATGCGCCGGTGGCGTCGTCGGAACTGGTGCGTCGGTGCCACCCTCTGGCGACGGCTGGCGGGGGGGCACCACTCCCCCGAAGAAAAAGTGTTCCCATTGCCCATCTCTGCTGCTGGTTGCTGTGGACCAGCCTCTTGTTGTGGCGGCTGCTCTGCCTGTTGAGCCGCCCTCTGAGCTTCTTCTGCCGCGAAGGTGTGGGGGGCTGGATGCATGTCGGGCAATGCGGGCTGCGTCTGTGGCGGGAAGACCGCCTGCGCCGGTATCTGTCCCACAAGCAACTGCGGTACTTGAGGCGGCTGCTGATGCAACTGGTCGGGAGCTGTGCCCCCTTGCTGTTGGAACTGAACCGCAGCCGCCGCCGCTTGGTAATTGAAAGCCTGCCACATTTGCCCCATGATACGCTCCGTCTCGTTCTGTCGATTTGCCATGCCAGCCAAGAGCCCACGCATTTCCATCATATCGTTGGCGGCAACAGCCGCCCTTTCTGGTATCTGCTCCTGGTGCTGGTGGATGGGTGGTGCATACTGCTGAGGCTGCTGCTGCTGCGCGCCATAACCACCAGGAGCATCTCTGCCTTCGTGTCCAACCTGTTGCTGCATGTCCGCCGCCCCCTCGTCCATCATGCGTTGTATCTCCCTCGCGCACGCGCGGTGCTGTGCGATCTCGTTGGCGATGGTTGACTCTTCTCCTTGCAGATCCTTGATGCGGCTCTGCACATTCATGATGCGCTCCTCTGCTCCCTCTAACTTGGCCTGGAACTCTGCTTGCTGTTGACGCAAAGGCATCGTTGACTGCACCATACACTTGTAAGTAGCAATCTTCCTGTCGTGAGAATCTGCCAATGCATGTTCTTTGGCCCTCCGTGCAGTCAGTGCGAGGGTGCCTAAGTCCGTCAACTGCCCCCGTACGGTTAAGCGAAACTGGTGCTGCTCTGCACTGGTCTCTGGCGGTTGCCTGTAACACTGCTCTGCTGACGCTTCCTCCTTGGTCATGGGAGGCACTCTCTGAATGTACTGGCGTATGTCTCTGTCTGAGAATCGGGAGCGACTCGGCGGGCGTGCATCTCTGCCAGACCCCTTGCTGCCATACCCCTTGCCGTACCCAAATCCCTTCCCGCCTCCCTTGTCTTGAACTGACTTTCCCATGCTTGGATCATATCGTTGTCCGCAGAAACATTGGGCATGATGCTTGACATACCGACCACACTGCGGACAATCCCATGCTGGAATCCATCCTTTCATACTAAGATCACTGACCGTCAGATTGTTGGCCACGCCCTGCTGAGCTGAGTGATGAGATGCGAGCTCCAAATAGGCTTGGTGTAGCCTCGCCAGAGTTCTCGCCATAATCGTTCTTTGCGAGCCCTGCGATGTGCAGCTCCCTCCTCAGCGCGCGCCGTGGCCACGGCCCGAGAGGCAGCTATCGCAGGCCTGGAACGCGGCACGTCTGGCGTGCGCGACGGGGCTCGGCCGAGCAAAATCCCTGTGCTCAGGCCAAACCCTTGAGCCAAAATGGCTACGGACCTCCTCCTCCTCCTTCTCCTCCTCCTCCTCCTCCTCCTCTTCCATCCTGCTCCTCCTCCTCCTCCTCCTCCTCCTCTTCCTGTTCCTGCTCCTGCT